CAAATAGAGGTTAAGTGACTTGCCCAGGGTCACACAGCTAGTAAGTATCTGAGACCAAATTTGAACCCAGATTTTCCTGACTCCAGGCCCAGTGTTCTATCCACTTCACTACTTAATATTTAAACTGAAAGTACACTATAATATCCTGCTAATTCTAAAATACATTTTGATGTTAGAGATAGGTGATATATTTTAAAAGTCTCAAATGATCTGACATACTTTCTCCTTCACAGTTTTCCACTTCATATTAGTTTTGCTAACTATTATTTCTCAAAAAAAAAAATCTCCAAGTCATGTTAAATATAAATTTGAAAAACTGCAAATGTTATTTATCCTGGGAAATTTTCTTTTTTTAGAATTCAATTTAATTCAACCTAATAAGCATTTTATTAAGTACTGGTTGGCTATGTGATAGGTACTGGAATGAAAAAACACAAAACCAAAAAGGAAACAGTTCCTGTTCTCAAGGAACTAACATCTTGCTGGCATGTCATCAGTTTGATAATAATGTCTACTATCTTAAAATATATTTGGGTCAAGTGAAATGTCAGTAAATTCACCTAAAATTTTTATTCATTTCATACTATTTTCCCATCCTGTCTTTTTACTATGAGAGGTCTCGATTTAAGTTGTACCGAACAATTAATTAAAAAATATTAACCAAATATACATCCCCCAAACTGACAAGCTCATAAATTATCACAAATTTGATACTGCCCTGACCATTTTAACCTGATTTATAACAAAGTGAATTAGAACCAAAATATTCTCTTTGTGATTACAAATACATTTATCTTGCTTATAGGTCAAAATCCTTGCTTTACAAGAAAACTGACTATAATTCTCTTAGGCTAATATGATTTCTGGAACACAAAGCAAATTTTGGTAGAAAGTGCTTTCCCTTTCCCCTGCCCACGATTCCTTCATCAAAATGAAAAATTAAGTCTGCAAATTTTTGCCTAACCTAAATTAATTTTAAAATTTAATTTGAAAACACAAATACCAAATAAAATCAGTACTCGTTAGTACAAACTGCAAGGCAGAATTTATCACATACTTCGTTTAACAAAGATGGAAATCTTTACTAGAAAGACATAATAAGGCAAAGTTTGAAAACAGCTATTGTTTTCAGTTTTCCTAATAAAAACCAAAGTTGTAGAGAGGCAACATGGGGTGGTAGATGAAGAGCAGTCTAAAAGTCAGGAAAACCTGGTTTTAAGTCTTGCCTGTTACACATACAGGTTGTGTGAAACTGGGTAAGACACCTTAGTGCCAGAGGTGTCAAACTCATCCTTCATGTGGCCAGCAAAACTACAGAGTATAGCCAAAACCTGATTAAACTGCAATTGGGAAATGTTTAACAAAATAAATAAAAATACAATCCAATACAGATAATGTTAATTTGTGGTTTTCTAAGTCAACATGTGCAGCAGGAATCCATTTCTACTTGTTTGACACTACTGCTCTAGGCTACTCTCTACAACTGGAAGGCACAGAGATGGTAATGACCTACATTGTTATTATTCAGTCTTGTTAGACTTTTCAAGACCCCCATGCCATTTCCTTCTCTGGTAGATTAAGGCAAACAGAGGTTAAATGACTTGCCCAGGGTTAAATAGCTTGACTTACTAGCTAAGGCTGGATTTGAATTAAGGTTTTCCTGACTCCAGGCTCAGTACTCTAGCCACTGAGCCCTCTAGCTGCCTCCTGTGACCTTCTTTAGTCCTAGGGATTTTTCTCACGAGAGTTTCCTATTCCAGTGGAAGCATAGGTCCAGTTCCTCTCCTTTCTACTTGATTTTCCTAATCCCAGAGTATTTTTTGTGGAAAAATATATCTGGAATTAACAAGTTACTTTTCTATTTAAAATGGAAATGCAGTTTCATTTATACAATGCAATTCAATTTAGCCTTTCAAAAATGGCCTGTGTCCTGGTTTTAATATTTCTATCAAGTGACAATGAAATCTACCATTTTGTAATGACTTATTCATTAACTATCATTTAATTCATAGCTCTTATTAGATCATAGTTCTAATAATTTACTTTCAAATAAATAAAAATTTTAAAAGAATATAGTGGCACAGAGAGGAAGATCTTTCTAAGTTAAGTAATAGCTTCATTTCATCATGTACAATTTTAGGCTTCTATTTGTAGAAATTTCTGATGCTACTTTTCTGTATGTAAGTGCTGTCACTGAGGTGTTCCTTCAAATTGTATGACTGAGGAAAGTTAGGTACTTTTTTTTTAACAGCAAAGTATCACCAGTGAAATTTAACAAAAGGGCAAACTGAGATAATTCTTTGAGCAAGACAACATTTATTAGCAGGGGCATGCTGTCTGTCAATAAATGGGTTAATGGCTTGCCTCCTTTTACACCAAAGACCCTGAACAAAAGGACAATTCCCCTTTTATAGGTTTTGGGGAGTACAGAACAAAGAACGGAACAGGGTAGATGACATCATGAGATTGAGGGGAACAAAACTGGTTACAAAGCTGAGGCACAGGGAACAATGTGATTGCTTGGAAGTTTGGTAATATGGGCTAGCAATGATCCCCTTCTTCTCTCATTAGACTAAGAAGTGCTTATTATTGGAGTCTGGGTGCAAGGTCAAAAGATAACAGACCAGCCCTTTTTGGAGAGCAAACCAGACATCCTTGAAGGATGGCTTAGTGGTGTAAAGATACTAGACCGGACTCCCTTGTGTTCACATCCACCAACCAACCCTCCCCCCCCAAGGTCAGCTAAATTCCTTGAGGCAAGAATAGATCAATGATTAGCAGGAGAGCTAGATTTCTAAAATTAACCTAGTACAGGCCAGTTGAATTCTAATTGTGAAATTAATTTTTTACAAAATATCATTTAATCATTCCACTTTCCTTTTCATAAAACATACAGTTAACTTCTTGTTGTTTTCATTATAGAGCCCAACTACTTAGACTAGCTGAGGATCATAGATTTAGAGCCTTCTATAATCTTGCCCCATCCTACCCATCTGAACTTATTTTCAGTTACGCTAGTTTCACTGTACTAGTCATTTTCATTTCTATTCCTTTGTTTATGCTGTCTTCTCTGTAGGAAATGCCAATCTACTCTTCTCCATCTACATAAATATTTCTTATCCTTCAAGAAAAGTCCCACTACCTCCAAATCATATTAAGTTCTCTTCCCTTCTGAGAACTCCTAATATATTATCTGTACTACTCCCTTTTTATGGTACATAATCATAAACTGTCTTGTACTACTGCTTAACTTTTTCATCATTTAGGCCTCATTTTTTTATCTGGACTATAAACTGGGAGACTGTTTATAATGCTGAGACCACGTCCCTTTTCTTTTGTAGCCTCATAGTCCTTTAAGCATACAGATGTTCAAAAAAAATAGAGCTGAATTGACAAGACTATGTTTTTTGTAATATCTTTATAGACAGTGCTTTACTATACAGAACATATTCTAAAAGATGGATGATTGACTGCTTAAGCCCCCTTGCTTAACTCCAGAAAACAACTAAAAACTAGAATTAGCCTATGCATATCAATTACATTAGAAACAACAACAACAAAAACCTGTTTTCTGATGATTTTTGCAAATGTTGCATTTATGGTAATGTTCATTTTAAAAAATACAACAAACTCATCAAACGTGTTTTGCTAACATTTTCTTTCTTTCATTACTTGACAAACAACATTGTATATCCAAAACAACAATAACAAAACACCTGCAAAAACCCTCTGTAATTTTCTTTTAAAAAACATATTTTGTTTTGACACAAGACACTTTCCAGCAAATACCCAAACAACATTTCTTAAAAAAAATATTCCCTGAAAAAAGTTACTTTATTAATAAAAAGGTTGCCTATGTCCTTTAATTTCCTGTCAGTATTCTTCATTCTGGTAATCTATATACATAAACTTAAGACTATAAACAAGTTTACTTTGGTAGATTATCCAACCTGGTATGTGGTAGATAATCATGTATCCAAATCAATATCACATTCTTTAAAAAGCATTAATAAAATCAGCTTCTCTGTTTATTATTCCAAATTAAAATGAAATATCTGCTTTCACACAGGTACAAGAGTTATTACTAAATAAAGACTCAACTATAAAATGACACTGTCATTCAAGAGCTGCATTCAAATAGAAATGTTTTATACAACTCATGTTCTAAAATCCACCGACTAGTTCAAGTGATGTTGGCAAAGCTCAGGAAAAGATCAACCTCTCATTTTTCTTAAGTAACTATATGTTGGTGGACAAAAAAAGGTTTGAAATATAGTTTAAAACCAATAAAATACAAAACATTTCTCTCTTACTTGTAGTTCCAAACAAAGCAAGAATTAAAAATAAGATGCTACTCTGATAGACTCTTCAAAACTCATCTAATGTAGAATGTTTAGCTATCAATATTTTCCTGCTAAAAAAAATCAGTATTCCACTATAAATAAAGCATGATGGTATAATCTTCCATTAGAAACATCAACTAGGTCTCTTTATAAAAAATCAATATCAACGAATCAGGTCTGACTATATAAAAGTTATAGATTTGTTTTTAACACAGCTAGGCAATAGTTATCTGATGAAATCAGATAACCTAAAACATTACCATACACCAGAAATACTATACTCACAGCACATAACGGATGGTAAAAAGAAGGCAATTAAAATTACGAGGAGAAAATGTGCTTTTAAAAAAAACTAGCCTTGTTAGTGACATTTACTATAACAGAAATAAATGCATATTTTAAGTGAGACTCAAAGGCCACTTTTTTCCCTTAAATATTTCAAGGCATTCAATTAAATCCCTTAATTGTTAATAATGCACTTTACTCCAAAGTGGTTGTCATCATACAATTTTGCTCTGTGCTCATAGACAAATACTTTAACAAAAAAAGAAGTTCTGAAGACCTTTGTTTTGGTAAAAACAAGTACCTATTTTAGTATTAGAAATCAGTTGGAAAACTAAGCATAGAAAAATTTATCATAAGGGAAAAATTACTTACTACTGAGCACAATCAATCAACTGATATTCATTAGATCTCTCGTAGCAGGCTTTCACACCTTCATCTTGCCAAAGTGTTTTAGTATGTTCATAAAATTCCTAAAAGTAAACACAAGAAAGATATTAAATAAAGATATAAGACAGAATAAAAATACCACCATTCCTACAAATCTGTCCCAAATATCAAACTATTACATTTTTCATTTAAAAAAATCTGCTTTCATTGATTAGCATTTTGATTCAGCACACACTCTGTGTACCACAGTGTACTAAGTACTGTGGGAAGAAAAAAGTATTCTCCACAATAATGAGTTTGTAATTTAGGTATAACACATAAGAATAAAGTGACAATATATAATAAATTGTAATACTCATAATAATAAATAAATGTCAAATGAGTTGCATAGATGCTTAATAAATGTTCATGAGTAATTGCCAGTCTTTATTGCAGGGAGCCCATGACTTATTTCTTGTAAATCCTTTACATATGAAAATTCAACCTAGGAGTATCCTCCTTACTTCCTACTGGTATCCTTGGGTTTTCATTCTCATAAACTAATAAAATTTTAGAGAGCTAGAAGGAACTTTAGAGACTATCTAGTCTAATCACCTCATTTTATAGATGAGGAAATTGAAGTTCAGAGAGATGAAGCACCTTGGCTAAGGCTGTTATCTCTATTTAAGAGCAGAACCAAGCCTCAAGCTCAGATGTCCTCATTTCCTATTTCAGCATTCTTTCCATTACACTAGATGAACTTCCTCTCACTTCTTTTTTCCTCTTTGATGCTGTAGTCCCTACATCTGCCAAAGACAAGCTCCCTTCTTGCTTCATTTCAGTCCTATGTTTAGGATTGGATCTACAGTGGCAAGCTAAGCAATGAGTGGCCAGGGAAGGGGAGAGAATAAGGAACTGTAAAATGTTAAGGAAACATTCTCTCAATACAAAGATTCCTTGCTGGTAGTAGTCTCTATCCCATCTCCTCATCTTCCCTTCTGCCCTACCCAGACTACTCCAGAGTCCTGGCCTAACTCCACTGACAAAATATCTAGAGGATAACACAAGAAAGAATCTAGATTTTCCTCTGAAATGTTGAATAGCCTGACTAGTCCAAATATCTAATACTAACCATTTGAGAGTTGGTTTTTACCATAGAGTCTAATAAATAGTAGGGCTGGGCAAGAAAAAAGAGAAAGGAACCTAGAATTACTTATTAAAGGGAAGGAAAATCAGGGCCATTAGCCTCAGGCTTAAATGTGGTACAGAGAGGTTGTATAGAACTTCCATCCACTGTGACCTCCCTTAACTTCCCAGCTCTACAATTTCAACCACCTCTCTTCAGTCATCTCTTCCAAAGTCCACTTTTTTGTATAGATAGCATTTCTCCATTCTCCTCCCTCCAGTTGCCTTTCCACCTAAGATTACCTTCCATTTACAGTCTCTCTTCATCTGTCTGTCTGTCTGTCTGTCTGTCTCTCTCTCTCTCTCTCTCACACCCACACCACACAAGATGTTTCCCAAACTAGGCTATGTTCCAATCTCAAACTTCATTTTCTGCTTCTTTGCATTTGTGCAGTCTGTCAGTGTGCCTGGAATGTATTTTATATTCAACCACATCTGTTTAAAATCATTCTCTTCTTCATGGCTTATCTCAAATATGACCTCTTCCACAATAATTTCCCAAAGTTTGTTGTCCTTTGTATAGTTTACTTTGAATTAGGCTTATTTGTATGTGTGTGACATTTCCCACCCCTGCCATTTTCCATCTTTGTATCTTTGTGCATTTATTGAATGGAATGTGACTGTAGAGGTTGGGATCAGATCTGCCAGAGTCACATTGCAAAGAATAAATACCTGGAATTTTTAGGACTTGACACTGTACTTTCCCATTTGTTAACATGTTTGCTCTGTTTCTTAGTGGTGATTAGCAATAAAAATCCTTTAAAAACCTTCATAATGGCTGTGTGGTGCTTCAGGGACAGAAAGACTATAGAGGAGAAAAGCCTTGAGACTACATTCTTTTTAGTAGAAAGCCTAGGAAGAAATCATGGTTGGAAGTAACAGGCAGTAGCAAAGAAAGGGAAGCGAGTCCTAAGAAAGAAAAGGAAAGGAGTGACTGGGGAGCCACTTAGAAACCAAAAGTCCTACTGGAGGCATACTCTGTAGAAAGACCCTAAGTCTCTAAAACTCCTCACCTTCTGAGCTGTTGGAACATCTCTATTGTGTGCTCTAAATGGGACAGTACTTTATAAAGCTTAGGACATTGTCTAAATGTTATATTATTATCACGAGTCATTCTCTCACCCCTACCCTCTTAGAGCCAGTGCTAGACAAATTCAATTTAATAAAAACATATTATGACGCTGCTTAATATAAGACATTGTCTTAGTTGCTAGGGTTACAAAGAACAAAAGAAGAACCATCTCTGCCCTTAGGAAGTATACATTCTATCTGGTAGAAGAAAGAAGTAGAGGGAAGGAGATACAGCAAGAACTTGGATAAGTTACTGTAAAGCATATACAAATTAAGTTTAGGAAATCCACAGCATTAACAATTAACAACTGGAGCCAAGATGGCACAGTAGGAAGCAGTCAAATCAGCTCCTCTCCAAAAGAGTTCTCTAAACAGATCTAGAAAATGCAATGGATTGAATTTTGATGGAGGAATACAGAAAAAGTCACAAATATACATTTGTCTAGCTCAGCTTGGCACAGGGAGACAGAGAAGCCTTTGGCTATTGAGGATCAGGAGCACTGAAGTACACTAAAAGAGGCTATATACAAGACAAGAGGAAGTCAGAGACCATACTGGGGCAACTTACTGGGACAGGTGAAAAATGGCAATTTTGTCACTCATTAGTCAGTCCCAGGTCACAGATCCAGAGCAAAATGAGAAAAGAGCTTGCTCAAGGAAGTGATGTCTCAGGTAAAGAAGCCTGGGGAAAGGAGGACTTTTACTGAAATGGAGGACATCCAGACATTCCTGATAAAACCAAAGCTCTGGAGAAACTTTGAAGTGATAAACGTGAATGAACAATGATAACTGACTGAATAAAGATAAACTGCTTACATTCTAATATAGGGAGATGATACATCTGTCTCTTGTGAGTCTTATTATCATCAGGGGTCATTGCTGAATTTAACTAGATAAGGCTGGGGAATGGTTCTGCTATGTCTTGATGATCTTAAGAAAGGAATGGGAAGAGAAGGGGAAAAGGGACATATAAGGGGGTGGGGGCAAAGGAAAGGAAGGTTAGGGAAAATTATTTCACATAATCAGGGTACACAAATATAAAAGTATATAAACAAGGAGGAAGGGGTGGAGAGAGGAGTTCATAATTGAGCCTCACTCTCGTATGAACTAGAAGGAAGAATATACACATAGAGTTCGGTAGAGAAATACATTTTACTCAAAGAGAAATAGGAGAGAAAGGGGACAAGAGGATAGGGGAATTGGAGGGAGGTTAGACTAATGGAGGAATTAGTCCTAAGTAAAACAAACTAAGGATTAAAAAATATATATAGCTTTTTTTTTTGAGGTGGCAAAGAACGGGAATCTGAGAGGGTACTCACAAATTAAGGAATGGATAAACAAGATACATAAATATAATGGAATACTGTTGTGCTGAATTCTTATTAACATAATGATCAATTAACATTTCAGTGAACTAATGATGAAACATGCTACTCACCTCCTAAGAGAGAGAGGTGAAAGACTGAATGCAATATGAGACAATTTTGGGGGGCATGGACAATGTGGAAATTTGTTTTGATTGATTATGCATGCTTGTGATGTTTTGGTTTTTTTGTTCTCGATTGCAGATAGGAGTTTGTGTAGAAGGGGAAGTAGGCAGATCTTGAATGTTTAAAACAAAATATTTAAAAAAAATAATTGAGCGATAAAGTCTTACAGAAGAAGTGGTACCTGAGCTGAACCTTGAAGGAAGCTAGGGATTCTAAGGGATGGAAGTCAGGAGGGAATACATTCCAGGTACGGGTGATCATCTGTGGAAAGACTTTAGGGCTGGGTTACCATCAGTTCCTTGGCAATAGGAAAGCTCTCACTGCCTGGCAGAGGTTATATGTGTGAGGGTGGGAGCAGGGGTGAAGTGTCTGAGATAGGGAGTGCCAGAGCCCTCTGCCAGGCTGTAGAACAATAAGCTGTTCCTGGCATTGCACAATGGAACTTTGAATACATCCCCATGCTATTCCCCACAGAAACACTATTATAAATTATGTTATAACCATATAACTACATTATATGGCTATATTTAACTATTATAATTATATAGTATAGTAATCACTAATCCTACTGTTCATATACATATAAATTAAATAGATTTCTGTGCTCTGGCCTGGGAACCTAACTATTGTATACTGTTTCCAAGAGAAAAAGTATTCTGAGTCAGAAAGCAGTTCTATCATAAGTTAGGAGCTGTCTGCAGCTTCACTTAGCAAAAACTTCACAGTTAGCTAAACAAAAAACTTGATTTTCAATTACTGAAAGTAAAGAGTAGCAAAACTACTACTAGACTCTGTTATCTTAATGCCATTTGCTTACCACATGGGTCCATTTTAGCAACAAGTAATGTATACCTCAGTTTTTTCAGCTTTAAAAAAGGCATAATAATATTGTCTTACAAAGGTTCCATTGGAATTAATGAATCAATATTAAAGCACTGTGATATCTATATATAAGACATGCTATAACTGCAAAGTATTATTATGTAAAAAGCTAACTTATAAGCAACTCATGTCTTCTGAAAGTAGTGATTAAAGCATACCCACACTCTTTGGTTTCAGCTTTCCACACAAGATTATGAAGCTACCATGCTAAAAATAATTCAGTACCCTCAGGAGAAGTTATAGGCCACATAAATCAAAGGGTGTAGAGCTGAGCATTAGAGCCTTTAATTTCTAGTTTCTTTTCAACTAAAGTAGTCAGACTATAGAAACCAAATCTCAATGTACACAGCAAGGAGGGCAGCCTAGAGTCTAGTGAGTTCAAAGATTCTTTAAAAAGAACTTTCCACTAGGATAAGGTAAATGTAATGATGGCTAAATACTGAAGAAAGGCATCAGTAAGTAAGTGTACTGGATGA